AAAGTGAAAGAACTACCCGGTTGGCTGTAGCGGATCATGAGTCACGCTGCAACGTGCCCTTCAAATTAAGAGTCTGAACAGATATTTTTGCTTTTTTTTTTCTGAATTAACATTAAAACCCATGAATTTGCAAGTTATTAACCTTTTAACATGTTTTTAAACACAAATAAAATAAATATAAACTACTGATGTTTTTAATGAGTCGTTTTAACCATTAAGATCCATTTATTGACTATTTGTAACCTGTAATATATTTCTTTTGACTGTTTCTATTAACAGGCTTTTATTTATTGGGAGCTATGTTAACCAGGGTTACACCCTCCCCTCTTAAATGTATGCAAGTCCCTTTGCATAAAACATAGGTCAGACTACCTGGACATCATGGATTTCAATAGAGCTAATCACAGCCTCACTTAAGCTCTGGAACAAGGATTGAACTATGCTAACCAGAGGGTTCCCCAGTTGAGGGTAAGTTAAGTGCTTGGACTTTGTTCTTTCTCGAGATGATCTTCTGACAGACTGTTCTGCATCAGGGTCATTCCCTTCCATTTCACTGTTTACAGGTTCAGTGTCATTCACCTGAGTTTGAGTTGCTTCCTCATCATTAGTTTTGTTTGAATCCAACGCATTGTCCATTTCATTTTGTTGAGTCATGTGAACTTCCGTTGCTGGTTCAGGCAACTTCTCCTTTTCAGGTATTTTGTCTTTTTCAGGTAGATTTTCCATTTCCGGTTTGTTTCCACAATCAGGTAAGTTTACATTTATGTCCATGTCCTCTTGAGCAATATCAGGCACAGTCACATGTTCTGAGGCTTGAGAATAGTCTGATTTGTGTTGCTCATTTACAGGGTTTGACTTAGTCTTGGGAGGAAAGACTACTTTGTATTCTTCAAACGACCTAGAGATCTCTTTGAGATTATCTGAAGGGTAATAGAGGGGGTAGTTTTCCTCTTCCTCAGAGTTATATTCAAGCTCATGTTCGTCAGGATCAGTTGTTGGGTGTTGGCGTGTGCTTGGCCGTTGGGGCTTTACTTGTACTGCTTGAGAATTTTCAGGGGCAGTTGGCAAAAAACCACAAGGTAACAAAAGGTCTCTGTGAAGAGTTCTAGTGGGACCATTGTGATGCTCCGGTTTGACTGTATATACAGGGAGGTTGTCTTTTTGACTAACAACCACGTGGACAATGGACTCCCACTTATCAGCCAACTTGTTCTTTCCCCTAATCCGAACATTCCTTACAAGCACGCGATCTCCGACACCTAGGACAGATTCAGTTACATGTTTGTCATATCTAGTTTTGTTACGTTCAGCAACTTTGCTAACATTTTTGGTAGCCAGTTGGTAGCTCTCCTGAAGGTGAGATTTGAGGGCTTTAACGTATTGCGAGTGAGACTGCTGCTGGCGATTGTTCAGGGGGACATTGAAGGCAAGATCAATGGGTAGCCTAGGCTGCCTACCAAACATTAACTCATATGGCGTAAATCCTGTACTTTCATGTTTGGTGCAATTATACGCGTGAACGAGTGGCTTAACAAAATCACGCCAGTGTTTCTTGTCTTCTTCCTTGAGGGTACCCAACATGTTTAGTAAGGTTCTATTAAACCTCTCCACAGGGTTTCCCCTGGGATGGTAGGGTGAGGTTCTGCTCTTTTGAATCCCAGCTAGGTCGCACAACTCTTTGATAGTTTTAGACTCAAAGTCTGCACCCTGATCGCTATGCAACTTCTCGGGAAAACCATAGTGGATGATAAAGTTTTCCCACAGCACCTTGGCTACAGTTTTAGCCTTTTGGTTGGGAGTAGTTATTGCCACAGCATACTTTGTAAAGAAATCTGTAATGACTAAGACATCTTTAGTGTTACTGCGATCTGGTTCAATAGTTAAGAAGTCAATACACACTAACTCTAGAGGTCTGGTGACTTGAATATTTACCAGGGGTGCTGCCTTCTCTGGTAGGGTCTTTCTGCAAACACATCGGCTACAGCTTTTGATCCTTTGCTCTATATCTGAGGCCATTTTCGGCCAGAAAAATCTGGTTCTGGTTAGATCAAGTGTCCGGTCAAACCCGAGATGACCCATGTCATCGTGTAGGCTTTTAAAAACCATAGGTCTTAGGCTTTCAGGGAGAACGAGCTGGTACTGGGTTTCTTCACCTACTTGCCTTTTTCTGTACAAAATCCCATTCTGCAACTCAAGTTTATTTAGCTCACGCAGAAGAATGCTAATTTGTGGGATTTCATTGCGTACAGTAGGGGGAGATGTTTCACCTGTTTCAAGCTGGTGTATGATCTCATTGATAGCAGGATCGTTAATCTGACTTTGTTTTAACTCTTCTTCTGACATGCTTGGAATGACAGGAAAAGCGTCGCACTGATCAAAACTGTCGGGTACAGCATTAACAGACATAGACAAGGATGTTACGAGTGGACAGGCGAGAACATTGTCTGTGTCATGAGACTGGAGGACTAGGTGTCTTTCACAGATTGCACTGACAGCTTGAGCCGGAACGTATGTGAAAGGATCGGTGCAGGGCAAGTGGTGTTGCACAAACTGACGGATCCGCTCTTGTTCCTTCAGGGAGACAAGGTCGTTTAACGGCTCGGGATGTGGACGACGAGATAGGCCGTCCGCGTCCAGGTTTTGTTTGCCTGCTCTGTACCTAAGCTGGAACTCAAAAGAGGACAGGGCGGACAACCAGCGATAGCTCGTCGCATCTAACTTAGCAGTGGTCAAAACGTAAGTTAGAGGATTACTGTCAGTTATTACGGTGAAAGGACTGCCATATAAGTAATCACAAAACTTTTCCGTTACAGCCCACTTGAGGGCAAGAAACTCAAGCTTATGAGCGGGATAACGGCTTTCGCTTTTTGATAGTCCTCTACTTGCGTATGCAATTACACGCAACTCTCCCTCCTGCTCTTGATAAAGAGCTGCCCCTAACCCGGTTGTGCTTGCATCTGTGTGTAGTACGTAAGGCAACTTGGGATTGGCAAAGCCTAAAATTGGGGCTGAAGTCAGTTTGTCTATGATCGTCTCAAACGCTTTCTGACAGCTCTCTGTCCATCTCTCCCCGAAAGGAGCTTTTGGCTGAAAGTATTGGACGTCAGTGGACTTAGGGCTATTGGTTTTTCTCAGTGGAGGGTATCCGGCAGTTAGGTTGGTAAGGGGTTTTACGATTTTAGAAAAGTCCTTAATAAACCGCCTATAATATCCTGCAAACCCTAAGAAGGAACGGAGCTCTTTCAAGTTTTTGGGACTTGGCCATGTTTTCAAGGCTGCTACTTTGTCGGGGTCTGTTTCCACACCGTTTTGGGAGACAATGTGCCCTAAATACCGAACTGACGTCTGAAAAAACATACATTTTTCGAGCGATAGCTTCAGACCGTATTCTTTGAGACGACTAAGCACATGGAGGAGGCGGGCTTCGTGTTGTTCAAGGGTTTCGGAGTACACTATAAGATCGTCAAGATAGACCAGGACTTCCTTAAGGTTGATGTTGCCCATACATTTCTCCATCAGCCTTTGAAATGTGCTGGGAGCGTTTGTTATGCCCTGGGGCATTCGATTGAACTCAAAGAAACCCATCGGACACACAAAGGCTGTTTTGTGCTTATCTGTCTCATCGACCTCGATCTGGTAGTACCCGCTTTTGAGGTCAAGGACCGAGAACCACTTCGATCCTGTAAGGGCGGAAAACGCTTCTTCCAAATTAGGAAGCGCGTAGGCGTCTTTGATGGTATTTAGATTCAACTTACGGTAATCGATGCAGAGTCTTACGTCTCCGTTTTTCTTCCTTACCACCACTATCGGTGAGGAAAACGGCGACTCGGACTCACGGATGATACCTGCATCGCTGAGTTCCTGCAAATGCCTTCGTACAGCGTCAAGATCCTGTGGTCGTACGGGGCGAGGTCTGTGTTTAAAGGGGGTTTCGTCGCTCAGTTTGATTTGGTGTTTTACCTTATTAGTGCAACCGAAGTCTGTATCATGTAGCGCAAAAACCTCTGACATAGCACTTAGCTTTTGTGTGATTCGCTCTTTCCACTCCGCAGGGACTGGAGAATCAGCAAAGTTGAGATTAAGCTCAGCAGGCTTCAAATTGGGAGTCTGTTTGGACGGCCCTGTGATCTGACTGTTTGGTATGATCTCTTGCATAGCATGCATTTCAGCAATGACACTTTTCGCAGGGATAACTATGTCATGCTTACTTTCATTTCGCAGGACCACTGGAAGCTTGTGTGAGGATTTTCCAGGAAAGGTAAGTAGACAGTTGGTGACTAGGACTCCACCTGGCAAGGAAGATGTAGCGGGGGTCTCGACTACTACCCACCTGTCTGAGTGTTCCGCTTTTATGTGGACTAAACCCTCTAAGACTCGACTCTGGCCTGCAGGAAGGAATTCAGGCTCTTTTCCTGAAAGAGTGACAATACCGAGGCTATCGTTATCTTTCTGCTTGTGTCTTTGTTGTAGCACGCTCAATACAACTCTATAACCATAAGGCAGGATGCTAAGGTCTGTATCAGCCAAGGAGAGGCTTTCAAAGAGTAAGTCAAGAGTGTTAGTGCCGATTAAGAGAGAAGACTGCGCACTAGAGCGTGTGTCTGGAACGATTAATGCAAGTGAAGACACGGTAAGTTCAGTACCAAAACAGTTCTTTGGAAAGGTAATGCTGACATCAATATAGCCTGAATATGGAACATTCTGACCATTAGCAGCTTCGACTTCTAACAGCTCTTGTATTGGATGGATTTCAAGGTCTGCAAGATTGTTTTCATAGAATGATTGGGAAACTGTGGTCACTTGCGATCCGGTATCAAGAAGGCAACTGCAATCTTGATCATTGATTTTTACTTGAGCAGTGTATTTGGCTCCGATCAGACCTTTGGGTAGTTTCACAGTGGCTGATTTATTGTGAATGAATCGTTTTTTGGGTTTACGCGGTGGGCTTGTGGGACTAATTTCATCTGTAGCACCCATTTGTCCCACAATGAGGGCTTGCTTTAGTTTAAAGGCTGAGTTTGATTGTTTTGTCTATCCCACAATAACTGTTTTTCCTTCAACTGTTTCCTTTTGTCAGCAACCAATGACGGATTTGGATCATTTGGGCACGCAGAGGCAATATGGCCGTCTTCGCCGCACTGGAAACAGTATCCAGGCTTTGGCCTACCCTTCGCAGCTTGGGGTGTCAAAGACGTTCGTTCAGGTGCTTTGGAGTGAGTCTTAGCATTAGCTTTTGGCGGGTTAGACTTTTTCTTAGGAGGGTTCGAGGTTAATGTTGCAAGATGGCTTTGAAGCTGAGTGATTTGCGCTTTTAGTTCTGTTACCAGATTCTTCTGTGGATCTACAGGCGGTTCTACTTTTTGGGGTTTTAGTCTTGTCAGCTGGCTTTGTAACGCAGTTATTTGTGTTCGCATTTCAGTTAGGTCATTTTGCATGGTGAGTGCAGGGAAGTCAGCATTTGCAACAATAGAGTGAGAGGCTACTTTTGGTCTGGTGGCAGCAAAATGTTTTTTCATTCGGCTTTCTTTTGCAGTATGCTTGTCCTCTTCTACTCTCAACTGTAGCAGCAGCTCGGTGAACGTGGGGGGTTCATCTTTTTTCCTTTCGAGCTGAAGGTCTGCTAACAAAGCATTATCCCAACACCCCCGACAGAATTGACGCAGAAGGTGTCTGTCTGCTTCACCAGATGCAACACCACCTCTTTTCAGAGCTTTTGAGAGAGCTGTTTGCAAACGATGGAGGTAGTGTGAAGGCTTTTCACCTGCATCTTGTAAGGTGTTGAGAAATTTGGCAAAAAGCTCATCGCCATCTTCCACTGTGCCGAAAGCTGAATGTAGTAGTTCGAGATAAGCTGAAGGCAAGGCTTCAGGGCCCAGAGGCTTCACCACATTAGCAGCAGGCGATACTAGACTGTCTAAGATTTTCCGTGAGCGTTGCAAGTCAGACAGATCGGAATCTTGAAGTAGGAGCTCTACACTGTGGCGCCATGTATCAAAGTCTACCTCATGGGTAGGACAAGGTGATTTGCCAGAAAATTGTCTGAGGCGGAAGGAGGCGCTCACTGGTGAGACAAGAGCTTCATTTCGCACTATGTGCTCTACTACAACTTTATGTACCTCTGGGTGTGTTATAAAGCTCTGTGGAATGGTAGTCTGTACATCTGGTTGTGTCTGGTTGAATGACTCAGAATCACTGATCCGTACGTTGGCTTTGAATGGTTCTGCAGGTTCACTTTGGATAGGTTGATCATTAGCTTGTACTTGGGTTGCTGGTTCACTTTGGGTGTCTGGGCTAAGAGGTGGTAGCATGTCTGTGACTGACTGAGCACATTTGGAAAGATGTTCATGCAAAACAGTTTCGAAAGAGTTGCCACTAAGTCTAGCAATGTTTTACAGTTCACAGAAAAAACTGCTGGTGATGCTGTTGGTAACAGCTGCTATGTACTCAGGTGACAAGGCTCTGATCTGGTAAGAAACCTCACTTGGACATTCAAATGTGTATGGTAGTAAGGGTTCAAGGGCTGAAAGAGCAGCTCCACTCTCATACTCCACAATAACATTTTTGTGGTAAGGAGATTTGGGATCGTCTATTTTAAGGATTCTTTCGATTCGACCATATCTGTTCAAAAAGTCTTTTAAAGCTTCATCAGCGTCTGTGTCTGTAATCCCACTAACAATGACTGAGTTAGGAATTTTAACACTCTCTCTGTTGACTATTTCCATTTTGCCGGACTTGGCCTAATTTTGAGGTCTGGGTCAGAAAAACAAGATTTAAGGGTTTAATTACTGCTCCTGGCTGGCTCGCCACCTTTGTAACACTTCTGGAGTCGTTACAGTATACTAGGACCAGTTAGGTTCGACTACTAGAGCAGTATGAAGGTGACTTGTCATAAAAAACCCACAGACCAGAAAATAAGTTTAAATCACCGGCTTATTATTTTTAGAAAAAAAAAAACAGAAAATAGACAGTTGACATACAATTCACAATACACATAAAACAATTAACACCAGGGAAATAAGATATTTTAATTTTTCCCTTTTTGTCCAGTAGTTCCCGTTTATCCTATTTGTCTCAAAACCTTTAATTTGGCTTTAAAAGGATGCTATTTTAACCTAGGTTGTTGTTTTATTAATTTTAAGTTCTAAGTTCAAGTTTGTTCTTTAATCTATTTAAGTTAACACTGTGTTATTTTAAATCTAGTTTAGTCCTTTAATTCCAAAATTTAATTTAATTTTGGTTTAGTTCACCTTTAAATTTCAATTATTTCCTATTTGGTTTCACCCACAAAATTTACATTTTCATTAATACCATGACAGCATTAAAATGTGTGGTTGACCAAAAAAAATAAATAAACAGCATAAATGTAAAAACTTAAAACAATTCAGCAAAAGGCTGAACAAACTCTTTAAACAAAAAAAAAAAAAAAAAAAAGAAAAAATGTATTTCTCCTTTAACCATAAATCCCAGAATTATTCTGAATGGTTATCCCCTTTAAACAAAAAAAAAAAAAACAAAAGAAAAAATGTATTTCTCCTTTAACCATAAATCCCAGAATTATTCTGAATGGTTATCCCGTGCTTTGTGAGTCCAGCGTTCTTCTGCAGAGGTGTATGGATAAATCCTACCAGATTCCAGTGAAAGAACGCAACGTCCAGCAGGGGGAGTTTTTCTCCTTCTGACACGCACAGTTCAAGGGGTCCGAGGGCGGCTCGCCATCTTGTTTCACGCTTAGGAAATCCAACTCCGGTTCTAGCTCAGCATTTCCCGGTCCAAACCTTAATGGCCAAGTCCCGTTCAGTTATGTTCACAACATCACCAAGGCACAGTCGGTCAGGAAACAGAAATACCTTCTCAAAAGTCTCAAAATGGCTTTATGTGGACTTCTAGGTTGGTATTTAATATATTTTTTTTCTCATTTACGCAGCAGCTCCGCAAGGACTGTCTGCATCTCTTCCTCCGCAGCGCTAAAGTGAAAGAACTACCCGGTTGGCTGTAGCGGATCATGAGTCACGCTGCAACGTGCCCTTCAAATTAAGAGTCTGAACAGATATTTTTGCTTTTTTTTTCTGAATTAACATTAAAACCCATGAATTTGCAAGTTATTAACCTTTTAACATGTTTTTAAACACAAATAAAATAAATATAAACTACTGATGTTTTTAATGAGTCGTTTTAACCATTAAGATCCATTTATTGACTATTTGTAACCTGTAATATATTTCTTTTGACTGTTTCTATTAACAGGCTTTTATTTATTGGGAGCTATGTTAACCAGGGTTACACGTTCATAACTGGTCCATACTGGTTTTGATCTGTAAATAATTGTAACGCATTATAAATAATCTTGTCTCCTTACCATCTTTTCATTTTCTGTTCATGTAATATGTTCCAAAAAACATCTGTAATAATAAAACTAGTGATAAAATCAATGACCAGAAAGAGTTATCAGTTAGTATTTGTTTTAATAACATGATAACAGTAGAAGGCCTCTCTCCCAGGAGGACCACCAGGTAAAGACTCTCCTGACCCTGGACACCTGCAGTCCCAAACAGAGATATCAGAGTCCACAGGTGACAAAAAGGCAACAAACACATTTTTACATTTATCCACATGAGAAGATAAAAATTATATTCTTCACACAAATAATTTTTACTTCATTAAAACGTGTCAGCTGTGTAAATCCCTGAATGTAAAAGTACTTTTCATAGCAGAACAAACGATCTACTGTGGTCATGTGTAAACATCTTCACTCTTCACCTCTAAGCTTAATAAAAACACTTCTTTGTTCTGTTGTCCTTAAAACAAGTGACATTTTATCCCCCCCTCCCCCTCCCCCCCACACACACACGCACAGAAACGGGAATAAGTACGGGACCCGCGATACAAACTCGTTCTGCTTATAATGTAATTTAAAAAACAAACATACGAACGAAAAACGTCTATAAACAGAACCACTTTAAGCTTTTTAGGTTTCTACGTCTAGCTTTTAAACAAACTTTCATTTAAAACTTTGTAGCTCTCCCCATTTTCTCTTCCTGTTGAAAATCCACAGCCGGCGCACAAAGCATGCTGGGATAGCCTTGTTCTGTGAGGATACACCAGACCCATCCTCCAAATGTGGGTGGAGCGAGGACGCATTTGAGGACACGAGAATGAGTATTCTTGGAATGTGGACAGTACTCATCGCTGCGCTGTGATGTCATCGACCTCAAAATGTGTCCTCACAAGCATCCTGCCCCTGTATTTGGACACACCCTCAGACTGGTGACGTTGAGGTGGAACTTGTCTCTCTCTCTCTCGTGACTCTTTTGGTCTTGGCCTTAGCATTTAAGGAACTCCTCGATTATAGTATCTTGCATATAGAGGACTTGATCCTCCTTGTTTAGTTAAAGCCATCGATTAATTCCTTATGTATAGTTCCCCAGAAGCTCCAGTTAACCTGGCTTCCTAGATTTTGTGTTACCATGAGATTCCCCTTTGCCTCTGTCCCCTTCTGGGACAGACACCCTTGTTTCTTCTTAAGTTTGGCCATTTGTGCTTCCCTCTCCCTTCAGGATATGTGTTTAAGTTTAGCTTTAAAAAAATTAAATACTTGAAAAGGTTCACTGACTTGGTGTTTTGTCTTCTAACACTTTTTAATACTTTTATCTCTCCACTCGTAGACAACATGAGCTGGAGACGTAATGAGATGATTTTAAATGTCGCCTTCTGCGGCACCTTCGGCGGCTGCTTTCAGCTCGAGGCACATGTGCAGTAGTGGCCATCCAGATCAGCCTTGAAATTAAAATCACTGGAGATACAAGACATCATGGGGAGTCGGTAACGTAGCCCAAAAGTTTGGGAGCATTTTACAAAAACAAAAGAGAAGTATAATTTAAAGAAAAGCTGCCTTTTCACGGGAGCACATCGTTGATGCTCGTGATCATAGGTGGGGGTAGGAACGTAGATCGACCAGTAAATCGAGAGATTTGCCTTCTGACTCAGCTCTCTCTTCACCATGACAGACCGGTACAACGCCCACATCACTGCAGATGCAGCACCAACCCATCTGTCGATCTCACCCTCCATCTTTCCCTGACTCGTGAACAAGACCCTGAGATACTTAAACTCTTACACTTGGGGCAGGACCTCATCCCTGACCTGGAGAAGGCATTCTACCCTTTTCTGACTAAAGACCATTGTCTCAGATTTCGAGGAGCTGATTTTCATCCCAGCTGCGTCACACTCGGCTGCGAACCGCTCCAGCGAGAGCTGGAGATCACGTTCTGATGAAGCCAACAGACAAAATTCACAACTTTTCCCATTTTTATGATATTTTTTATTCCTATTAAATTCTATTTATTTATTTATTTATTTTTTTATATTTTATTCTTGTGATGCACCTCGTGGTTGTCATCGTGAGAGGCGCTGTATAAAAGACTGTTTCTTCTTCTTCTACTACAAAACACGCATTTGCTGGATGTTTTTTACATTGTCTCACAGATGGGGGGGGGGGGGGGGGCAGCTTCCAGAAATGGTCAGTTTTTCATCTACAGTTTGACCTCTTCAGCATCTGGCCAGTTGGAGACATAAGTCTTAACTGGTGCTTTCAATCTGCAAGAATGATACTGTTGCTTGGCCAAGGTCCCTCGCAAGCTCACTCTAATTTAAGACTGGTTTTTATTCACAGAAGAAGATGGATGAACAATATGAGCAACTAATCATATAATCATATAATGAAATGGACAATATGGTTAAATGAAACTTTTGATTAATCTGTGCTTAAATTACTGAAGTTGAAATAAATATTATTATTACATTGAAAGATTAATAAGGATGAAATGAAAATATGACCCATACATTTAATCAGCATACTGACTGGACAAGACACACTCTCCATACCTCAATGACACTAGTTATAATTAACATCACTGGACATAGATATTTTCTTATCCACAAAATCAGCATCTTCATATTTGAGGGATGTGTGTATCTGATTTGTTGGCAAAACCCCTTCACAGGGCAAGTTCTGATTTATCAGAAAATAAGATATGGCCTTGATTAAAACAGCATCACTTCCTGAGTGATTTCAGCTGAGCTCCCATCGCATCTTTGACAAGCTGTCAAAACCTGTTGCATGCTACAGCTGACTGCAAACGGTTCCTTCAGAACAAAGCTGAACCAACTTCAACTCCTAAAGAGTCCTCCATAGACGCAAATAACTACCTGTCGTGACCTGGAGACTCTCGAGACTGGTCTAGTCGGCACTGCGGTTTCTTCTACGGACTTCGGTACCTTTGGGGTCCCCGGACCTCAACACATTCCGGAT